CACCGCTCCCCAAGGTCTTAAAACCCACAAGAGTTTTTTCCCTCACAATGGGTTTTTTGAAGAAAAAAAAAAAAAAAAAAAATATATATATATATATATATATATATATATATATATATATATATATATATATATATATATATATATATATATATATATATATATATTGAAATATATATGTGCTCCTAAGTCCGGAGCAAACACTTCCTCAAAATGTTGAAGCTTTCATGGCCTCAAAGGATGGCTTGACATCATGTTAATTTAAAATATGAGTGAGATATCGCTAAAGTTAATATGTGAGTGAAGGCATGTTACGGTCACTGACCTCTAGGTTAAAGCTCAGTGCCAGAATTTACTTTAGGAATTTTAGGGTGGGATTGTAACAAGGCAGACGGGCAAATACTTTCGGCAATATAAAGTACATAAGGATTTGGAAATGGAAGCTGACTTCTTGTGATTAGTGCGAGTGTGTCCTTCATTCATTCCCCCGTGTTAAAGTCTTTCTACCACTCAATCCCAATTCTAAAGCTGTGCCAGTGTTGACTTGCACCAGTTCTGTGATCAAACATTAACTGGAAGAAATATTTAAAATAACACAGTGATGTAAAATAGTGGTGATTCTCTGGTTGTGAATATCTTTTTTTTTATCGAACCAGTTCAGAACCCACACTTTGTATAAACCCTTACTCCAGCACTAAAGATGCACTGATGAGAGAATTTGACCTGCCAATAGTTATTTAGCTGAGTCAAATTTATCTTTATTAAAGTGTACTTCCAGCATTTAAAATACTTCTTTCTGGCCTTCTTGCCATGAGTGGTCATTAATTATTTATCTTAGGAGTCACAAGATGTGTGAGAGAGCAGTCTCTGTAAAGTGGAGTTTGATTAATTTCAAACAAAGACAAATGAGTCAGAAGTCGACATTTTAAACTCTTCCATCTTATACCATCAATTATAATGATTAGAGCAATTAGCATTAGTAACTGTTAACATCAGTCGTTGTGTGTATTTCTGAAGGAATGTTGATGCTTGTCCTAACTTTAAGATCTAAACTCAACGTGATTCATAAGAAAGAGGAGCTGGGAAGCAAAATGAAAACAAATCATCTTAGCTGCGATACATTTAGCCTTCATAGCATAAGTTGGCTCTGGGAACATTTTTTTTCTATTTTATCATCCGTAGGAAATATCACCAAGAGGCATGTGACTTGATGTTTTGTGATAGCTTCTTTTTGTTCCTGAAATATTAAGAAAAAAACTGCTAAAATCAAGTTTAACACTTGATTTTAGCAACCTAAAGAATCAGCTATATAGTTTATGTCCATACAACATAGCTTTGTTTTAAATAGTCTCTCACACCATAAGTGCTTCTTCTGAAGTTTTTTTTAAAGGGGCAGTATTATGTATTGTCCAGAAGCATAGCGCCAGCTATTGATTTTACATAATGCTGCCTCTTTAGCACCTCACTGACACAGAGCATAGCCAACTCTAAGTTTTCTTCCCACAGCTACAGCTGTTATAATTCTGTCAACATTGCTATAATTTTTTGCTATCCAACAAAAGAACAGTTCTCATATTTACATACTGAAATTGTGCAAGATGTGATCTCAACATCATTATAACAACAATAATCTAGTTTCACTTGAATAACTTTCGGACGTTAATCCCAACTTGAACCTTATGGTAAAAAGTTTGGCTGTAATAAATTAATTGCTGCTTATGAAATGGTACTGAAACTTACTTTTAACATGTCTATGCAGGTTCGTATGTATGTGCAGTGTGTGGGAAGAAGTACAAGTACTACAACTGCTTTCAGACACACGTCAGAGCACACAGAGGTAAGATAATTGATTTTTTTTTTTATATATAAACTTCTTTCCTTAGAGTTTAGGATTGCAAAATGAAATACTGGAAGTAAGACTGCACAATATATTGAATTGCATTTGGTTTTGCAATATCAGTGTTTGCAGAAGACTTGCTTGAAAGGTTATTGAATACTTTCATGCTCCTCATGTTACTAATATTTTTTTTTTTTTTTGCCAGTTTTGTTGTCAATTGTACAACCTTCCAGGAAGAGTTAACGCTGCAAGTCAGTTCTTTAATTTGGATTAATTTTAAATGTATGTAACTGACTTGTAATCTTCTTATTATTGGATTTGATCAAATAGGTATTTTTATTCTTTTTAGAAAGTGTATTGAGATGGATTTGTTGCTGCTCGATTTGCCCACATGGGATTTACAAAGTGGTGGCTGCATCTTAATGACAGAAGTTAAAGAAAGGGCCCCCTCAAATCTGTTTTATTAATTTGCGAATTCCTCCTTTTATTCTACCAAATTACACTTTTTTCATTATTATTTCTCTGAATTCCACCTTTTTTCCATTCTAACCATATTTATTAACCCATGAACTGTGTAATTGTGGACTGAATGAAAAGTAATTAAGCAAATCAATAGCCAGATAATTCCAAGATTATGTTATTAAACTTTCACAAATATCACAACATGCTGTGGATCAACAAACATTTAAAAAACTGATTGTTTTTTAAATGTAATAACAAATATCACCCTAATTTTTTGTTTGTATTTTTTAAGGTCTTATTGGCTCTAGTGGCCTTTATTTGATAATGAGTTGACAGTAAAGTGGGTAATGAGAGACATGCAGCAAACGAATCCAGACCGAGAGTCGAACCTGCGACAGCCGTGTTGAAAGCTAAGGCCTCCATATGTGGGTTGTGCTTAACTCCTGTGCCATCACAGCACCCCCACCCTCTTTTTTTTTTTTTTAAAGAACCTCTCATATTTTTCATTAAAAAAAAAACAAGTCTTTATGTTTAAAGCTTCAGAGTTGATCTAGCCTATCAACAGTTAGAAATATTTTTTGAAACACTAAACTTACAAGCAGCAAAACTTTGTGCACATTTGCATAGCAAAAATAATCTGTCTTCATTTGTTTTTCTTCCATCTGTCGCAGACTTCACCACTGAAATATGTCATTATCAGTCAATTTGTGTTAATCTCGTGTCATTTGCACTGACCTGAGTTTTACATTTTTTTGGAACAAGTTTCAGGGAGCCTTTTCGCCCTGGCTGACATTTTTTTTTTTTTTTTTTTTTATGTTTTTATGGAAAGGAAAGTTAATCTCCTGCCTAACCAAGTAGCTATAGGTACAGGGAGCTGCAGTGGCCAAAATACTTCAGAAACTTGTATCTTTCAACACTTGCAGATATGCGTAAACTCTGTCATATTTTTCTGCTTATGTAGACGTGGGTTAATACTAACTGATGAGGTCAAGTCAGGATTAAATACAAACATATTGATCACTGATCATCAGAAACAATATCCCCCGTCAGTCAGGTTCCAGCATTCTCATTCAACATTCGAAAGGTCAACTTTGCAGGATGAAGCTTTGCCATCTGCCTTTTATTTTCAAACTAAATTGAATTTGCTACTAAAATAACTGGCTGGACATCCTCCAAAAATAGTAATTCAGTATTATTTATTATTTTGTCTATATTTATTCTTCACATCTGGGTTGTATCTCCTCTGGTTTCACAGCAACACATATATTTGGGAGCTTTTGAAGTCAGTTGTTACAGTTTTGTAAATGTTTCCCTGTTCTTGGTTGTCAAAGGATTTCAACTGCTCAGCATTTCGAGCTCTCCTTTGTTTTGTCTTTTGTGTCATAATGATGTCAGTGAATGACAGGTCCGGTGTGCTCAGAGGCCAGTGTAGGACCTAGGTTATTCTGAAACAATGCAATATAATGCAATTCACAGGGTAAAATACCACCACAGGAAGTTATTATGATTTGAATCAACTCCAACCAAAACTAAAAGGCAGCACCTTTAGACATTGACGGCCTGCAAGAAAAAGCAAGTCAGTTCAGATTCGTATCACATTTCTCTTTGTGGGCCCATTAAAAAGAAAATAATACAATATTCAAAAGAGAAAAAGCTTCAACTTTGCTTGGACTTAAAGGATTGCATGCATGTTCTGGCATGAGAAGCCTTCTTTTTGGCTAAAACACAAAGGAGCATAAAATACAAGCCAACAGGGGGGTATTATAAGCCCGGATAAGAAAATCAATAGACTTCTATATTTTCACATAGCGAGAAGTTGCCTGTTGCTGTAGGTGACGTTTAAAACACCCTTTCATGGATCTTTAAATGAGTGCAAGAACAGAGAATTCTGTGGGAGTCTGGCTTGTATTCATTTCTTTTTCTTTTTTTTTCTTTGAGCAAAACCTTAAACATAGATATTTTTCACAGAATAGTCAATGCCGTAATTTACCCAACCTGGCTGTCTTTTTTTGATTCTGTCTTTCTTTTTGTTGTTGTTGTCAAGCCTCTGATTCCAAATTGCCAACATGCTTTTTGAAAGCGCACACTCAGGTTATAGTACGCCGACTCTGTTTGGTCAGTGTGAACAAAAAAGGGTACAAAGGAACAAAATAATAGTCATTTTTGCCACATTTTGCTCATATGCTTTATTGTCTTCAAATAATAATTTGGTGCAAACAGAGCTGGATCTTTAAGTACATGTTGGCATTAATCTATTCAAGCAAGTCCAAACCTATTTTTTTTTCATTATAGAATCAGAGAGCATGGTTGGAGATGGTCTGCCTCAGACACCCAATAGTAAGTACACCTTTGCCAATTATCCATTAAGCAAACTTTATTTGCATGACAGCAGATTTGATGTAGTTTTTAAAACAGATATACACGAATGTAGATAATTGCACACACAACAGGAAGATTGTGGAAACAAAATGCAAGTAATCGAGGTAATCTTTTACAGTGTGCAATTTAAAAATGGGTTACTGAGAAAAGGTTAAGTCCAAGATGATGAATACCAGTCATATAGGACCAGTTTTTACCCGGCGCTTTAACGTCACTTTCAAAGTTTGATCAGGACTAAAAATACTTGTGCCTCAGAGTAGTACTTGCGAGTTATTTATACATCTACCTACACATGCTCACTGTACTTTTTATGTGAATATGCAACCTAGAGACTTCAGTACATGTACATTGCATAGTGAAAGAAAATAAAGTAAAGAAAAGAGCAGTTAATGGAGATGGAGTGAGAACATTTAGATGGTGTATGAGGAGTACAAGCTGAATACTCCCAAGCTTTTTGTGACGGTTAATATTTAGGCCACTGAGACTGGATGGGAAAAAAAAACAAAAAAACTTTGAGATTAAATTCTTAGGAGAATAGACAATACTGTAAAGCACTTTTGGTTGTGCCAAGTCTTTACATTTTAAACTAGGGCTGTTGTAAACGAATATCTTAGTAATCGAGTAATCTATCGATTATTCTTACGATAATCGAGATTTTAAAAAATTTATAAAATATAATATTGGTAAATCTGGCTTAACACCAGTGTTACTATTGGATATCAACATCAGTCCAATTTTTCATATTTGAGCTTCCTTAACAGTTTTTTTTTTTTTT